CTCCCACGCACGTAGGTTTCGATAGCCTTGTACTAGGGCGAACGCTCTAGTTGTCTGCACCCTCTCAATTCTGCGTGTTCTTTACCACTGGATGCGTGGCTCCCCACGCGTACTTTTTGACTAGAAAAGTGGCTCGCTACTGCGGAACCGTTTGCCCCGCACATGGAAAGGACGGCACTATTTACCCTTTACTGCCCCAATCTTCCAAAAACAGGCCAGTTTTTGACCGACTTTTTCTGCGTTGGCAGAATTGGCTAAAAATTTGTTCTGGGGTAGTTTGACCTCCTGAACATGAATATCACATCCGCTCGGCACGAAACCTCCTGGCGCCCGCGCCACAGGCGCCGGCGCCAAAATACCCTAAATCACCAAATTCGCTGAAAACTTGTCAACTGGGGTAGTTTGACCCCCTCAACACGAATATCACATCCGCTCGACCCGATACCTCCTGGCGCCCGAGCTACAGGGAGCTGGCGCCAGAATACCCCAAGTCACCGGCAGGCGCCAAAAAGTTTCGGGCCAAGCGAATGTGATATTCGTATTCAGGAGGTCAAACTACCCTAGGAGACAACATTTGAGCAAATCTGTCCACGGAGAAAAAAGTCGGTCAAAAACTGGCCTGTTTTCGGAAGACTGGGGCAGTAAAGGGTAAATAGTGCCGAAAGGACCATTTGTTGGGATGAGCAGTAAGTTTGCCTTTATATAGAAAAGTTTGCCTTTATATAGAAATGTTGACCACTTAGGCAGCGTTCATACTTCGCGACAGCAGCGGCGATCGCGGCGACCTCGGCGATCGCCGCGATCGTCGGTACGTGGCAGAGCGCGCCCCAACGCTATTATGGACTGCTCGCTTGATAAATAAGGGAATCCAACTTGTGAGACCTTCTTTTCTCTTAATAATGGCTACTAACTGATAACTTACGACTTTCTATACATAAGCGGATCTGGAATATGAGGTAAGGAGGTTTCACTTCTTTTTAGGTCGGGATGAGGCCAACTCCATTTCCTGGGTGAGCTTTTTGTCTCTTCTGTTTTTATTAATCCAACGTATGCAAGCGCCTTGGAATTCCTATCGTCTGGACTGTTCTAACTTCCAAAACATTCATAGTTCACAAGTCGAGTTCAAACAACAAAAAAAAAAGAAAGAAAGAAACTCACCTAGGAACCAAAAACACTAATCATTTTACGCAACATCAACAGGTGAAAACTTATAACCTCATGTATAAGCTCGACGAATGAAAAAAGAAACAATAAAAACCTACCCTAAATGAAGCTCTCACGCTTTTTGCTCATTTCTATCCTGAATCAAGAAAGAGAAAACAAAAGCCATTAAGTTGGGTTCACCTTTCTTTGTGTCAAACCAAGCTTCAGTACCTAAGAAAATTGCAGTTAAAGGAAAAAAAAGCATGAAATTGAGTCGCTTCTTCCCAAAAGCCTTCGGAGCGCAAGTAATAGCGTTGGGGCGCGCTCTGCCATGTACCGACGATCGCGGCGATCGCCGAGGTCGCCGCGATCGCCGCTGCTGTCGCGAAGTATGAACGCTGCCTTAGAGTATGGACGGTCATTTATGTCCGCGCCCCCGGATAAGTGCAGATCCATTGAGCTTGAGCAACATTTCTACGGCGACGAGTGATTCCGTCCCCTTTCTCGACGAAAATTTAAGTTCCACGCAAAACGGCTCTTACCGTAGGTTCAGTTGTTAGCATTTTTAACGTTGTCTGTCGTGTTTCCTCGGTCTGCGTTTCTGGAGTCACTTGTTGTTTGAGTGCCCGTCTCGGTCCTGTTCTCGTCGTCCCCCATTCCATCCTGCTCTTTACGCCATGGGTAGGGAGCTTCAAACTCTGGAGCATAAGCTGAAACTTGTTAATTATGATCGTGCGAGCTCGCAGGTACACTTATGCCACGACCAATCATTACAATCCTTCGACTCCTCTTGTGAACGTGCGACTTGAGGTCAAGCTGTTCTGGTAATCCACCAAAACGTTCACAGACAGCTCCTTGGACGAAATTTTTCATTATTGCAAATGGTAATTTTAGCATGAGATCGCTGGAAGCATGATGTTCATCCAGATATCCCAGTGTCCCAGATTGTCCAATAACCACAAACACCACCACAAAGTCAAGGAATAGAGTATGACGCAGGTTCGCGATTACAGATAGAACTGCGGAAGTGGAATCGTGTTGTAAGGGATTTGGTCCTGTAGGCATTTGGTTCCTTTCATCACATGCAACTCTTGTGCGGAGGTTTTCCACCCAGCTACTTGCCCCCTAGTTCCGCCTTCAGTGCACATGGTTTTCATGTGACTGAAAAATTTTTTCTTAAATATTGCTCCGAAATATTGTGATAGTTGGTTGCGACTTCAATGCGCCTTATCTAGCAAGGGAGGGATGGTAGGTCGAAGTGGCCATTTGAATGAAATGTATACCGACTGAAAGGTCTTCGGACGGGAATTACGAAACCGTCTTCCATATCTGCTGCGGACCGCCTCCAGAAAGAAGTTACGGAGCTTTTAGGGGGAGAATATTCGCTTTCAATACGAATAGGCGGCGTAAGGCTGATGCGATCGTAGTGACATGATCGAGTGGACGTACGACGTAAGGGTCATGAATGCGTGGTCGAGGGTTTGGATCCTTGATGCGTGTACTCTTTTGGGCAAATTTTATTTCCAAATTTTTTTTCGAAAGTGGACGCCTGTGCACATTTCAAAGCTACATTTTGCATAAGTCTTGTGCGGCTGATAACTGTTGTGATTGGAAATGTTTTGACACTGATGAAGCCATTGCACGATGTTCCTGGAGAATCATTGTCTGGGCTGAATGAGATGTCATATGAGCCGAAAACATTCAGATGCGCAAACCACTTTGGGATAGACAATCATTCATAACACTATGGCGAGAAATGAAATGAAGGTCTGCGAAAGAAGCCACCTGCAAAAAATGCCGAAAGAGTCACACATCAAGAAAACAAACGCCTCGTCGCACTGCATTTATTAAACCCTATAATCCACTGCGGCCATGCTGTCAACGATCACATCAGCCTTAAACGGCTGGCCACATCGTAATGAAAGCGAATATTCATCTACTCTAGAAAGCTCGTAGACTTCTTCCATGGGAGGTCGGCACAGATATGGAAAAATCGCTTTCGTAATCATCGCTCGAAAGGCCTTTCAGTGCGGTATAAGCGTTTCATTTCAAAACTGCCAAATTCGATCATACTTCCTGTCCCCTGTAGGAAATGACGCAAGCCAATGAGGTAAGGGCACAGTCAATATACCAGACACCGCCCCACGACTTTATAACAATTTGTCGAAAGAGCAAGCATAAAACATGTCCTGCAATATTTGAAGGCTCAGAAAAATGTGGGCACATTCTGTGAATTCGAGGATTCTCGCACTCATTGTCAAACTTTTCCTGGAGTGTAAGAATAAGATGAGAGGAAAACGTCCACTCATGGCAATCTACCTACTGCAACTCCTGCCCGCTTGACAACAAATAACACCTAACCTGGTGATGATAGTTCTCTCGTCGAGAATCCACGTCCCCAACACGGTGGATCGAAGAAGTTCGCCTCGACATGTGGTCGTACCTGGAATAAAGATAAAACACATTAAACAGAAATTTTAACCAAGTTGAAATCTCGTTTATCCCTTATTGAACTAGCATTGAGAGAAGATTTGAAACTTCAGCTTCACAGGGATTCTTTCCAAAAATTATTGAAGGCAGTTGGTACATTTTGACTAGTCATTTTAACCCCCGGGTTTCACCAGCGGATTTTTGGCTTTGAATTGAAACTAAAGCATTTGCCACAATGAAGTAAACTAAGAACTTACACGGTAAGCAGGATGGGATATCTCCCTTCATTTACCTGAGTGGGATTCACTGACGCATCAATAACTGAAGTTGGGAGGAACTCGTTGCGTGCCATCTGTGGACAGTTCGGTGGCTGAATAAAAACAGTCAAGAGTGTGAATATTATGGTGTGAATATGAAATAATAAAAGGAAGCGACTTTATGGAATCTCAGAAATTTTCTGGTGAATAATTACACACCTTGGGTTCTCCAGTATATAACGGGTTTCCTCTAGCAAACAGGCCAAAGGCGCAAACTCAACGCTGCATGGCGTTGGGCTGAGCTAGACAGCACGCTTTCTGCTCTTAAATTTATGTACCCTGACTCTTTATCTGCCATCAACAAAGTAAGGCCACTGACGAAATATAACACACCAGACTGGTTCAGCTTTGCCCATACCACGAGCATGAATGTGCCCTCAAAAGCGCAGTTGGCGATTAGTGAGGAAGCTCAACCCCTTCCTGCTCCCATACGCACGCCGTTTCGTGTAAGTAGGAAAGCTTGTATTCCGCAATCGACCGAGAATTAATCTTTTCGCGCGACCAGAACGAGCGCAGGAAATAGGGCGAAATGTCACAATTTAGGCCCGTGAAGTGCATGTCCGCCTCAGCAATCATGATAAACTGCAACGAAGCTGTTTTGTTGTCCTTTCTTTGTCTACTTGCAACTCTCCCACCACTAAAACTATTGTTTTTGGCATCCATTAGCTGCAGTTTGGAGCAATGAAATTTACCTTGAACAAGAATAGAACACACCTTCCACTCCCTTATCTAACTTGTCATGAAATTAAAAAATAGTGAAAGAAGAATTGAGTACAATAAAAGAATCACCGTAACGCCAAGACACTCGTTGTCACGCCGATCGCAGATCTGAACCTGACACTGGAACTGAAGATTGCTCCGGTCAGGGAAGACGAACGCCTCGACAATCATGTAGGCTGACGATAAAGAAGGATCGTAGACTATCGGACGTAGTTGCACGGGCAACGCCTCAGGACATCTGAACACTCGGATTTTTTTGCAAAAAAATGCTCAAGCGTTTACGCTCCCTAATATATGAATTGATAGTAGTAAACAATCAGTGTAGCTTGTACGTAACCTTCATCGATGACATATGTGTTCTACACTCTAATTCGAAGTTATGAACGTAGTCATTGCGCACAACCGCGCACATCGAGCCAGACATTTACTGTTTTCTTTTTCAGAAAATTGGGCTCGTGAAATACCTCTCACTTACTGACACTTCCCTCACGCTGCATTACGTTTAAGCTACCGAGGGCCATAGTTTAGGCAGGGCGTTCCGTTCCACATATTTACTGCTTCCTGCCCAAACTGAATATTATTCATAAGTATTCAACCCTCTTCACGCCTTCGTCCCGCTTCCGCCCCCCCGCCTTCCCTTTTGGCGGTTTAAGAAGCTCTAAGTAGAAGATTTAGAGAGACAATGGGCAAACCTGCTCTTTGTGTCACCTCTCACCCATCGCAAGCGGCTTGTTCTTATCTCTTCTATGAATATGTATTGTGAATCTATTCATATATATTTCTTTTCTGCACTCCCTGCACAGGCACTGATACCAGTACACGTCCGCCGAGCAAATTCCATGAGAAGTGGAACAGTCAGCAAATGTGGACAATTCATGCGCTCCAGTCTTCCGTGTAAATCAGTTAGATCCTGGTCCAAATCCTGCGCACGCGTGCTGCTTGCAGCGTAGATGTAAGGCCCCGTACCTTGCAGTCACTGCAGGGATATGGAGAGCATACGGATGATTATTTACTACCTAATCCGACTATGAGGTACTGTGGACGTTTTTTGAAAGTATTCACACAATCTTCACTTGCAAGGGTGCATTTCAAGTTTCACACCAATCTTCAACGGTTTCTGATGACTTCAAGGTGATTCATCTATCTCAAGGATTTTGAGATTGATGAGTTCTACATCTCAGGCGTCGCAAGGTTACTGTTACAACACAAGGAAGTGTAGAGTATTCTCAAGGCACAGCGCACTTCTATATGGATAGATCCCTTTGATAGCGCTCTCCCTGAATGAATAATATGAGGGATCTATCGCAACTTACCCTCTTTCATCAATAATTGGAATCGATAAGCCGGTGGTGTCAATCGCATTGCAGTTCCGCACCAGCATTCCGTAACGTGCTGTAAAATATGATGTTGTTAGTTTCATACCTGGTTATGACTGAATGCACCCATTCCGCGTACGGCTAGCTCTCATGGAAAACATTAACAGCAGGATTCCTTGTTACAAAGTGGGGCAGCCGCCCGGTCACGTAGCACGAACGGGCTCCCGAGCGCGGCTCGCATCGCAGACAGGGCACGGCATACGCTGGAGAATCCCTACTGGGGTCGTATTCGGGTGTGTCGTATTTTGTCGCTGGTTGGTGGTAGTAGTTGGTTGGAGATGACCTCTCCCTCAGATCGATAACAAAATTTTCGCGAAAAGTGGAACATTTTTGAGAAATTTCGGAAAGGTGGAAGGAAGTCGGGGGAACCCAAGAAACTGGGGAAAAAGGTAGGTAGGATGGGAAAGGAGTTGTCGTAGCAGAGGAGGGAATTCGAGGAGTGGGGAGGTGGTATTTTCCGGAAATTTTAGCCAGCGGCAGGACGTGTCCTGATCGCAGAGCTATCAGAACGAGTGATCGCTACATCCGGGCCTAACGGCTTTCACAAGATTGAGGTCTGCACACCTACCGTTAGTACGACAGTCCCATCGATGGACAAGATTCGCGCCGATTATGGACGTGCGAATCCGGGGACCATCAGGTGTAGCTTCACGGATCGAATACTCGCATTCCGGCATCAACATCGCTTGCTGCTCCAACGATTCAGAAGGAAGGTTGCTGAAACGAGAGGTAACCTAAGTGACTCCGTCTGAGCATGAGCATCCACTAAATCGATCCACTTACCTCACTTCCATGTCAGTATTCACAGTTTTGTCAATGTAGGCGTAGAAACAGCGTACATTATAGGCTCGATCGACTTTCGTCATAAAATGAGGATGGAAATTCGTCACGAACGTTAGCACGTAATTCATGCCGTGAGGTTGAAGCTGCAATTCAACCAGCAATTTTATCTTTCAATTGATTAAAGTCACATAAAATCACGAGACTTGTCTAATCCGTCGCATTCCACAATCGCCTATTCGGACGACGAATGTAGCACCAGCGAAGTCGTTACCGTAATACTCCTGACGGCAGAGATCCATACCGTAGTGACCTTTCACATAGATATTTCCCCTGCAAAATTAATTAGTGAGTAGAGCGAGGATCACATCTAACGCTCAAACTCTCGAAGAAAGGCACTCATTGCAGAACTCGCTCTTAACCTCAGCACAGGATAGGGGTGAAGTAAAACAATTCAAGAAAACTGAGTAGATGAAATATTACCAACGAAACGATAGAAACTTTGTTGAAGCCCGTTTAGAGGCACTGAGATGAATCGTGCTCATCATTGCCGTTCCCATCTAGTGTCCAGAAATGGTACCCGCATTCAAAAAGAGATAGAACCAGTCACATTTTTCACAGGCTTCCGTCTTGCTAGAATTAATTTCGCGCCATCGCGCGATCCACTGGCCATGAGTTCGTCAGCTTCGCAATCGCAGCTGGTACATCAGGTACAGCTGTACCGTTTTCTGGAAGACACTGAAGCTGACTGTAGCCGACCACTTGCAAATACCATCAAGCGAATGTCAGCTTCACTTTGGTGCAGAGAAGCACTTCTTAACCACTGCACGTTACAACCCTCGTGGGCAGTTCAACATCACCGCTATCTAGCTCGATGATGACAAGACGATAACTGCTGTTAAAGCCACTAAATTCGTCATCGAACTAACCAGCCACACCTCTGGGTCGAGAGAACATGTGTTTTTCTTTCAGATGGTAGAGATTCGGCCACGATATATATGATATAATCTACCAAAAGTTTTTGGCCCGAGTAACCTCACTATATTGAGGGAGTAGG